TGTGGATACTACTGATGAGGCATGCGAGTAGAGTTTTCCCGTAAATCCGCTTCGCGTCTCTTGAAAAGTGAGATCTATTATGGAATTTGTGGAGTCGCTTTGTAGCATTTGAGTAACAGTCAATGAATATCCAGGAAAGTTCAGGAAGGCGCGTTCAAGGAGAAGATGGATATTCAGTTTTGCAAACAAGATGCATACGAGAGTTTTTCTCCCCTGTCTAATAGTCTGTAGCTGTTCAGTTGGTGTTTCTCAAATAAACATCTCCGGAGCGAAGCCCTTCCTTTTCACTAGTAGCAACATATCGACTGTAAACCCCATTCAGTCAAGAGTATTAGTCGTTTTCTTCACTACAGACCGGATTAAGGATCTTATCGGTGGGCCATGTACTTTTATGAGTACTTGATGGAGGCCATATGTTCAGTACTGTGACTGTTTAGGATCCATTTATTCTGTGCAATTAAATCACGAAGGTGTTTCAGCATCTATAGTGTGCATTCTACTAATCATACAATCACCAACAACCAATCCAAAACTAGTTGCGGGTGGCTGCACGCTCACATCACCCTTTGTTTGAACAGTCGTCCTTCTGTCGTAGCCCAATCATTTTGTTGCGTCCACACCAAAAGGGAAGCACTGCACTCGAATCCGACTCTTTTTAGAGTTCATATCCTTGGCCAAAACTTTCCAGCAAATTCCAAGTGTCTGCGGGACTACTTGACTAGGAACTCCTTATAGGGCCAACGATCGGCAAAATCAGGACAGCTACTGCGTAGTCGTTCGAGTTGATGGGTCCACTACTCACATCACTCGAGTGTGAACTCATTCACCTGTTCACATATGAAAATCCAGCACGTCCAGCGTGCGTTGGTGTAATAATGGTAGCACACTGGTCTCGCATGCCTGATGTGCAGAGCTCTTGGGCCCACTACTCACATCATTCGAGTGTGAACTCATTCACCTGTTCGCATATGAAAATCCAGCACGTCCAGCGCGCGTTGGTGGAATAATGGTAGCACTCTGGTCTCGCATGCCTGATGTGCAGAGCTCAAATCTTGGCAACACTGACGAGTTTAATAAGAGCGAAACTCGAGTCCACTGCTTCGGCACCACTGACGAGTTTAGTAAGAGCGAAATTCGAGTCCACTGCTTGCTCCATTTGGTGTGGACTCACCAGAATACTTGAGCCGAGACAACAGAACGACTTTTCAAACGAGACTGACGAGAGCACGCATTCTACCAATCTCGCACTCACCTACAGCTGATTCCAGTTTTACCTTCCAGCTATGAACTCTGTGGGTGAGCAGTTTTTTAACCAACCGAAACACTCCGCACCAGTTTGAATAGGGAGATAATGAGTTATCTTTTCATTTTCTGTTCTGGTTGGTCTGCTGGTAACACGTTCTGAGCAGCTGAGTATTCATTCAATATTTTTCTATTGAAGGACGACATTCATGCGAGATCTGTCATGTTTGAAACAACGACAAACACTTATCATAAAGGAAACTATTCACAAGGTTTCTTAAAACCCTTCGATAGCCCACGAACGGTTTCGCTCTTCTTGTGGCTCATCAGGTAGGCGTCAACCTGATGTCCTACTTGAACACAAATCGGACTGTTTTCGAGAAAAACACTCATTTGCAAATCAGTTTGGTTTTCACGAGAGACTCAAGTAAATCTCTTGTTTATGACATTTTACAACTGAATATGCTACACACAGGTCGCCTCATGTTTCAGTTGACACGATATTCGAGATATCGCAGTATATTTTCATGAAGGAAACCATTCATGCAGTTAGGGCTAAGTATTTGCGTGCAGCGTCGACAAATTAATTTCAACACAGAAAACAATAAAGACTGGCCAATTCCATCACTTTAGCACAAGAACTACACACCTAAGGCTGAAAATTGTCACTCAGAAAACACGTTGTCCCAGAGACCGGATAATGCGTGAATGGGAATAGGCCAGATAGGATGGAAGCTTCATGGTTGTCACCGTGCACTCAGTTTACGGCTAATGACTGACCAGTATGATTACGTTCAATCTATTTTAAGGTTTCACCGTCTCTTGGTGGTAGTTGCGTCTACCTGAAAGGCCTACCCCAAAAGGGCGAAACCTGTCGTGGGCTGTCGAAGAGATCTCATCAACCTTGTGAGTAGTTTCCTGCATGATATAATCATCGTTCGGTTGTACTGCCCTGAGTATGAGCACATATCACATCCTAACTTTCTAGCTTGGAAAGCACAATGCGGCTCAATAGACCAACTCAGTCGTATTCACTACTCCTACTTCATTTACTATATTCAGTGTTACGACTTAATTTTGGACAGTGATAAGTAAATGTGGCGTAAAGCAACTTTACAACCCCCATAATTCTAATACCAAGGCTATGGGACATCGATAAACCGTACGGGAGTAAGTTCTCCCTTCGATCCATTTGCCAACCCACATTCAGACTTTATAATCCACCAGAGTAATGAAGAATCCCAAAATGGGAAGAGACTATGCACATGTCAGGTGACATGACCCTCTCTCCTTGATATCCATACACGTAGACCAAGAACGCCACAAATTCAATCTGGAAAACGCGAAATTTGCTATACGGAGACTTGAGACACGGAATAGAATTTTTGTAAGCATGGTACTTCATGGCAGATTTGACCAAGCGGTGCACCGAACTGGATCCAATTTACGTACCCCTACGTGCAAAAGACCAACATCTCAACCGGAACACTCAAGGAGGACCGAATATTGGATCCACAAAAAAAGGAATAAGGAACTCCTTTGAGTCAAACCAATGAAGGTCACAAGCCGGGACTGGAAAGGACAAAGGTCACTACAGCATCGGCCAGATTACGAGCAAGATTACGATTACAGGGGATGACAAGCTCAAACGTCGTGTGGGCATTGGCAAATGGGGACACAGGACAACGGGGCAACCAATGGAAGCGCCCGACCGAAAAATTAATCGCGATCAAAGGTCATCCCCTGCTAGCAGCACGTATATTAACACGCGCGTAACACTACTCAGCGCACAGCCACTAACCCACCGCTACGCACCACTACGCTTCCTAATAACGCACTGAGGATATCACCTTGACTGGTGATGGAACGTTTGCAATCAAATTGCCAAGCTCAGCGAACAAGCCAACGACCAGAATACCATCTATTCTCTCCATAATATAGACGCATATTTTAGTATGAGTGAGCTTATTTGGTAACGTATGGAGTCTCGTCCAATCCCTAATGAGTCCAAGGGCTAGTCACTACGTTCGATGACGACTGACCCTTATACGTGATAAATTTTGCGCAAATCACATCTGTATGTAACATTAGTAATACTTCATTGGAGTGGAGACAGAAGAAGCGGATGAGAAATGCCATTGATGTATTGTACACACTTACGTGTATCAAGGCAGACAGGGAGTTATCCAGGTCCTTCCATGTTGAGCCCTCTTTCAGTCCAACATATCCAGCTTTTAGTAGTTTTGTAGAGGCTACTCGGGATTGGATGTCCCATGGAAGACATTCGTCTGAAGTCTGAATGTTGCCAGATGCGGGGATGGGCTCTGGATAAATGTAAACTTGTACGTATTGTTTCGCATTCAAACAATGACGCACTGAGAGATCTGTTTTGGGAGGCCGGGCAATGGATTGGGAAACGCGGAAGAAGTTGTAAAATACACTAATTTCGCTTCACCGGATGCATAGAACTTAAAGTAGTAGGCTAGTACAAATCTTCACAAGGTACTGCTCTGACTGTCATTGCTTCGTAGGATGTGAACAGTACCATTTAGTCTTCAGAAACGTCTAATGAGTACAGCAAATGCATTGTCACCAAGCCATACAGTGATCCTCATAATGTCATTGGAGTTGGATGACCATAACGACAATCAAGTTTTAGACAGTATGCCACACAACAGCTGCTGATGTGAGAACTGTCCCTAGAAGTTAGTGGTTCCATGGTGACATTCTTATCATCTGTCACCTGTTTCAAGCCAACCGTCGCTCGTATCAACAGGTGGAAAGTTGATTCATTGCATTGCTGGAATCATGAGCTGGTGGGTATTTGAGGCATCCATCACTACATAGATCGGGTATGAGTTCATCTTTTCAAGAGAGGCACACAAGACAGTCACATCAATGAGGAGAACGAGTAATTAGGAACTGATCACCATCGATAGCATAACACTAGAATTCAACACCGATTCTTCGTTGCAACAAGCATACGCCGCACGACAGCTGGTGTGGCGTGAGTGATTTATCAGTTGTAGGACTCATGGTTCTACATGGGCTGAGGATACTGCCACGGCTCCAAGACCGATAGAGGACAATTAGTGTCCTCAACCAAACCTTTGGGATTACAAGCCTTATCGCAAGATAGGCTTGGCAGAGGTGTTCGGTGGGAAACGCCAGTGCATTAGATTTTTCAGAGAACAGGCCACCACACATCCCATCCCACAACATAGAGGACCAGGGCAGCGTGTTAGCCAGACCGCTAAGAACTAACCGTCCTCGAATGAGTGACTCTATGAGTATTTCAGGGACATCCCGCAGTTTAGCCCAATGTTTGTTTGATCTAGGCATTCAGATGAAATAAAATCTCATTGTCAGGGACAATGATAACGGATACATATTCATACCTGTTAAACTGACTGTGGAGTTCACTTCCGGGTGTTCACCATTGTTGGTGCCAGACAAGGGTGAACTGTTTGCTATGAGACGTCTTAAGCGTTGGTTGTCAGTCTTCAAATAACTCAATTCCCATCTCATTTTCAAGAGTAATTCATGCGTCGCTTGGTCTGTTCCTGTTTGCGGGGAGACGATCTTCAAAGGATCCAGATTTCCACGCTTCCTACCATCTGGCAATGGTAATGACATTCGGGCACCCGGAATATTGGTGAAAACGGTTGCCGTTGGGTTGCTATGTGTATAAAAACGGCAACATTCTTTCATAAGAGGGCGATCACGTGTGAAATTCTGCGTAAAATCGATACCACTTTTTGCAAATGTGAAGTTTGGAAAGAAGTCCGAGTTTGATGACGAGATGGCCCTTGCATATTTTAAGTCCGGTAAAATGCTTAGAACACTTTCTTTGCAGTCATATAAATTCTAAATGGTCTAGTAAGAAGAATACACCTATAACTAATATAAGGGTTCGAAAAGGAGAGTAGGCTGCAACACAGTCGGTAGATGAATTTTTCAAATTGGAAAGCCACTCATATATCCGAATTAGAGACACACCTTTAGAACAACTGATACTCACTTGATCGATACCATGTTAGTCGGCGGAATCGTTCAGTGTAATCTACCGAGTGCCGTCGAATCACTTCAAGGTCGTCCGACGAAATGTTCTCACGACCATTGCTATGGCTGCTTAACTAGGACAACCGATCGCTTGTCACCAGAAGCGTCAGATGAAAGCACTTGCTCTGCCACGATCAAAATGTCTCTAATAGTGAACCGTAAGTGGCTCGCCAACTTGTGGAAAAACTTTTCTGGCTCTCCTTTAAGGCCGCTATATCATTTATATGCGTTTGACAAAAGTGACCACATTCACACCGCATAATTACAATGTGTGTTTTCCGGATTAGAAACGAAGATAAAACTGAAGAACAACACAAGACAGGTGCCACTCGAAATCATCAAAAGCGAGGAGTCACGGGGTAGTATCAGATTGTATCGTCTAGCTAGCCTCCTTGAAAGGAGAAATCTAGTCTCGTTCATGTTGTCTGTTTTTCAAGAATGTGCACTTAATAAGGTGGGTATTCATTGAGGAAATTATCTTACCTACACCAATGTGAATCTCCTCACAAGTCATTCAGGTCAGCATACTCTAGCTTCACTGTTAGCGAGTGAACAGTTGCCAGGTCAAACGGTCCGCGCTTCTTTGATGGGGCTAGCGCGCCAAAATTTTGCGGGAAACCGGCATCTTATTCAAGGGAGCTGGGTCTACTTGGAGGGAACGGATTGGTCATCTGACACAGCAGTCAAACGACTCTCATCGATACAGGAGTAAGTCGCTCAACGCCCAACTTATGATATTAATATGCAGTTTATCATATAAGAGCAAATAGCGAGCGTGTCTTTCCATCCACTTTGTTTGTGTCGTTTAGTTTTTTCCTCCTCCCCTGTTTACATGGTCACTGTCGCAAAACCAAGTTCCGGCACTTTGCTGAAAGTCTGGTGTACTTTTTGGTGTTTTACTTATTCTATAGTTACAAGCCAATACGGTTGAAGGGATTCAGTACGCGACAGCTCTACAAAACAGGATATTGAACTGTACCGGTTTGGTGAACAGATGCATACGTATAAGCTAAGCATAGTCGTTTCCAAATTGATCTTGGTTCACTTCTAATTCTACCTAGCGAGCGTTTTCGAGAGAAACATACTTTGTCACGCGGAGTGGATCATTCTGTCTACCATCCCGATCACCTGTATCCATACTGCTTTTTGAACGTTTTTTAAAGGCTTTTCCAAGTGTCGGTCGGATCTGTGAAACGATTGGGAAAAAGAAACAAAACCTTAATTGCGATAACGTTGGATAAAAATATGAAAAAAGCGAAACAGATGGACTTCGTTTCTAAGCAAACCCTAGGATACACTACTTATAAGGTTGCTGGGTTCTAGGTGAGTCTCCCCTCAAAGCCAAATTGGTATGCACATGAGTGTATTTCACCAATGCCTAGGTTTGTTTCTCCAACAGAAAAGTGCAAACAAATTATACATGTCCTGAATACTTGTAGATAAATAAAAGTTTTCTGGGAGATCAGGTCGTTTTTTCCAAGGCTTAACGGGTTTGCGCCCAAGCAGGTGTAACGTAAATATATCTGACAAAATTTGCGCCATAAACGCATGGGGGGAGGGGTTGGGTGGCACACACGCATGCACAAGTGAAACCTGTGGCTCAGGTGCACTCGGTGCAGTGCTCCAAAATGTCAGTATATAAACAAAGAGTGGGTCAAAAGCGGACGGCAAGCTGAAGGACGAATAGGGTGTGCCTGTGCATGTGTTGCGTGGATGACCACCGGCAAGCGGAAACAAAAAAACACTGTCATCGAAGTGGGATTGCAGCTAACTGCATGAAAAGTTGTTCTAGGAAAGCGCACACTTCCCAAATGGAAGATAGTTTACAAGAGAATCGATCGACGCACTTTACGGATTTTGTGTGTTTATTTGATTCACATAGTTGTTTGGGGACAAGTATTAGCTGGAGTACTTTGCACTGTTGGTAACTATGCCCGGGTGCATCGGGTGGCAACTGATCTCATCAACTTGTGAAATTCTAGTCATTCAAACCAGTGGACATCAATCGCTTTCTAAGTTTCTGCTTTACAATCAGTGAACTAATGGGCTACAGTATAAAAGTGTGCCATGTGAAAACGAATGGACAAGTAGTAATAATGGTTGCACATTAGTGTATACAACAGTATTGGTTGTTGATCAGGTGGCTGTTGATCTGTTCGCCGAGCTTGGCAGTTGGCTTGTAAACGTTTCGTCACCATACGAGGAGACATTATCAGTGCGCATTGCTGATGTCTTCTCATATGGTGACCAATAAACTCACCTGTGTGTACAATAGTTGTAAGAAGGATAATTAAGCTGAGTAAAAAACTTCGAGGAATCGATTAGTTGTGTATGACCTACCCAACGCGAGCGCTTTCCCGCCGAATGTTCGAGGGTATCTGGAGACTGAACCGAGATCGTGGTCCCTGTGGAGTCCGAACCAGTCTGCCCGACTACTGAAGTTGTATCCTGACTGCCATTGCTTGTACCGCTTGCCAAGCTATTCAGGCTTATGGTTTCCTGGGTATCTTCTGAGCGTTCGGTATATAAATCACATCAGAGTAGATTATACAGAAAGCATTTTCAATCCAGTGGAATTTCAAACATAAAAAATTCAGCAAAATCTGGACATGTTGTAGGCAGCTAGGTGAGGGCTAGGTAATAGGCCTGATATAGACGACTTGAAGTAACCGTGCTGAATTTTTTTATACACAATTCAACGGCTTTCTGCGCTACGCTATTACGGTAAAAAGCCAGCTGCCATTACTCTTAACACTACGCGATTGGTATTCAGTTACTCATTCGGAGCAATTGTTATATTAATTGTCTAATATACACATTCAAAAATCACTCATCTCAAGTACGTTTATTCCGCTTGTATAAGGCTTTGAGTGAACTTCTTCTAGAGAAAGAAGGATAATCGAACTTGGGAGTTCAACGGCTGGAGTCTCGCTTTCGCTTCATTCAATCCTTATGCAATTTGGATGACAGCAAGACAGACCAACAACCGGTAACCCTTTAATGCCGGGACTTTGAGGAAAAACAACCAGCTTTTGTCCCGGAAAACAAGTAGGACAGAGAGTCGGATATATAACATACTTCATTCCAATTTGCCGTCTTACACGGTGTTCTTAACCGGTTTTGTACACGTGCATAAGATTTTCTTTGCCATAAGTGATGGACCCTACCATATTCCATCTAAAGTGTTGTTGTGTCACCACACATCCTACTTTTGGTTAGTTGAAGGATGGTGAATTACTTTCGAACCAACACGGTTTTTATTCATGAATCCGGCGGCAACACCATAGAGAACGAGTTTGAACGTTCGAAACAGGTTGAAGTGCCAGATGCAGCTGAAACACTCGGTTTCTCGATCTTACTCACATTTTCTTCTAAAACGGTATATTGCCTTACAGAATGAAGAAGAATTTGAACGGCTGCAGGATTCCAAAACAGGCCGTAATTAACGACTTGTATACTCAGAAGAGAGAAGTACCGCTTGCTATGACCATGGTCGAATCAGCTGGGATGGACTAAGTGAACGCGACCTCATAAACAGAGACACGCAACCTGGAAGCAATATAGAATTATGATCTGATAAGCTGTAGCGTTCCTCCTTAGTGATGATTCATTATTGCCGTAATTCGCCTAAATTTTTATCCTCCCCTAATCTGGTCAGATAATGCTGCATGACTACGAAGTTGTATCACAAAGTCCCATCGATCGTGTGTGTCGTTACTTTGGGAGTAAATTTCTGCCACATGTTGTAATCTAATTGGGAATTACCAATGACTGTCTCCGTGTCCCCATGTAGAGCGTTTTACGAAATTCGGACACTGCAGTCGTCTCCCATGCTTGTGAGTAAATAGTGCTACCGAATTTTGCAACTGTTTAAAAATCGGTCCAGCTAATTGACACCGGGTGAACATGCCTTAGATGTAAAAAGAGATTTGACAAGACAAATGTTTATAGAGGCTAAGTTGAATTCTGGTGAGACACGATTTAGCGTTCAGCCGACAAGTTTAGGCCAACATGTCCATCACCGATCGAACGGTTGAGCTTGTGATTGACTGCCAGTTCCGTTCTGTTAGGTGCGGTAGCAAACAAGTCAGGAGGCATTACGAATTATGCAGCACTGTCCCAAATTAGTCAAACGATGAATCACTTACGCTGGCTGGAATTCTCTGGTACGGTGCGATAGGAATTCGATCGCCCCGGGCGACGTTGTTGCGCTTCGTGTACTAATTGCAGTTTGTGCATATCCGATCGTAGTTGATTTATGGTGTTTCGAAGTTCACAGATTTCCGAGTCCTGAAAAAACAGGGGAGTAATTTGTTTTCCGACTGAAATACAAAATATCTTCTTTTTTCGGAAATTTTCTCGACAGACCGCAGTATTGTACGCGTCATCTACTTGACGAGGCCGTTTGCAGATTAAACACTTTCTTCATGCGTTTCATTGAGACGTATTAGATCCGTTATGCGGGTCGTCGCATATACAGCGAATAGTACCAAGGTTAGTTTTTCATTGGAGTAACAACGAACAGATCAACCTGTTTCTTAGTTCCTTCCCAGTTATATATATTTGTACATCCAATTCTGGAGTGGGATAGCTCAGTGGTCGGAACGTGAATTTACTGACCCGAAAGTCAGTGTTTCAAACCCGGCCTCTGCCTCTTGACTTTCCCTTTGTAGGATTGATGATCCCTGTCATCACTGGTTGGACCAGGTAGTTTCGTGACATTGCTAGCATTACCGACATCTAGTATGGTAGGATTCGGGTGGATATCCAATGATGCGAGTCCTCTTGAGCAGATAAAACCCTGGTGGAGTGGCGTATGCATGATATACACTTTTTGCCATGGATGAAAGTGCTGGGCTACCCTTGGAAACAACTCTTTTTGGTAAAAGGCAGTCTCTCTCAGTGGAAATGAACTTGAGACCAAACCGTTTCGCTGCGTTTAGAATGTCGCTCTCTTTTGAGGGTGCAACAACGTGTCCAAATAGGTTTGTCTGTGTCGACCATCTGAGACAAATAACGGCGTCCATTTCACACCAAGAACTTTTCTATGGTAAATAAACCATTTACGGGCAACAGCACATCTGATTAAATAGAGGTGAAAGGAGAAAGACCCTTCGCTTCGATGTCTTTAATTAGCAAACACGAACTGAACAGTTACAAACCATTAGACACGAAAGTAGATATCTCACATGCACATCGTTTTTTTTTTAAAAAAACTGAAGATTCTCGTGCATCGCCTTGAACTTTCACGGATACTCATGGACTATTACACAACAACGAACGAACGCTGCGAAGCGTTTACGCAATTTGCGCTATACACTTCACCTTCCGTCTGGTGCGGGGAGGGTGACTGGCCAAAAGGCCATAAACTACTCGCATGCTCCCTTAGTAGTATGCACCGTTATACCGATACGTTTATTGGTATTTTGCATAAGCAAGTAAACATTAAGAAATCTTGGTGCTTGGGTCCTCTAACTGTTTGCTTAAATAAGGCTTACTGTTTAGCTCCATGTCTAACCCGGTAGGTTACTTAATTCAGCAGGAATTTTCGATGAATCACGGCTTTTCCTGCAACCGAGTAACAATGCGGACAACCGGATTGTGTCACTCATTTGAGTTTTCCAAATACTTTTCTGTATGCAGTGTTTCTTTTTCACCGATACCTGTCTTACTCTACACGAAATCCTGCCTGAATAATTCAACAACTGACTGATGAGAGGTGACAGGTAGACGAGCTCAGTCTGGATGCAGTTTCTGTCATTATAGTATCCAGCGTAAAAAGAACAAATTATCTGTCTGTTTTTGCAAAGTATTCATACATGTGGAATATGGAGCGCGCGTGCCTAAAACCACGTAAAATATTATCCATCTAACAATGAAGTCTTTTCAAATGAATTCGATTCAGCTAACCAGCTGAAAAAGAAGTTAAGCATAACTGTACATTCCACTGTACATCCACTGTCCTCAAAAAAAAACCACCGGAGTACTAACGTATCACTGTCCACAGGGTTTCTTTAGCCTGATCAAGAGTAACCATTAGAAAACAAGATGGTTGTGCATGACAAGAGGAGTTTCCTGTTAAGCAGAACCAATTTAATGTGCAACTATGTTGTTTCCGATTAACACATCGTTATCAACCAACGCGTTCCATTCTAGCATAATAAAGTTTGAAAATAAGAAACTGAATTTTCGAACTCACAGAAAAAGCAACCATGTGGTGAATCGCGCCATTGACTAAGTTTTAACGCTCGACTGCGATGTTGAATAGTCGATATCTTCAGCAATCCTATCATATCTACTCACAATTCTCGATATGACTTTTGCCCACTGGTTAAGCTATCGGTAAGCCAAAGCCCAGTCAGCAGTCGCCAATCGGTGCCCGAGAATACCACGTGAGCACTATTGAGGATATCATCCATCTAACGTGACAGCTAACAGTCAAGTCTAAATTCACCGAGTGGTTATTTTAGTGCTTCAGTGCATTTCCAACACGAATCGGAGGTAATATGGTGACAAAATGATTCCGGTAGCGCACAAATCTTTGGCATGATATTTTAATCTGATGACCAGCTAATAAACATGCCACATACGGATGGACTGGCCAAAAGACATAAACAAAAACCAGATAAATCCTAAATGTCTTGCTTCTTGAGGCCAAGACGACCAATTGCTTTTGGCTGTATAACTCCAGCTTTTGAAACCCGTATTGCACTGATTTCCCTAGTTGACAGAATCCGCTTACCGAGTCCTTTAAATAGATCTTACACATCGACAAGCAAAACAGACTAAATGTGGTCCAACTGGATACTGCAGGGTTGAACTATCGAAATTTTTAATTGTGCTCTTGTGCAGGGAAGTTGAGAAGTAATGTAAATTCTCTTTGGACAAACGCTGAGATGTGTGCTTTCAGAAATATCTATCGTTGGATCAGCTAAAGGTATGCTGGACTGAATAGTTGCATTGAGCCGTATGTCTCTCTTCTAGGTACCGAAAAGTGAGACGGCGGATCCCGGTTAGTTTCTCCAACGTGGTGGTCAAAACACGCTGTTCATAGAGGATGTAAGTTTGGATTTAGTAACTCACAGAGTATAGTATCATTAAGAAGCCTGCGAACCAATGATTACTTAAAACTAAGCAACTAATTTGTTGTCCCCTGGGCTGAAGTTCATGTGCGCTAGATAAGACCACTAGCATCGTTCTGCGGTGGAGAAGAACTTCGAAAGTAGCGGTCATTTCAAATGAACTTCCCTCACGTACTTCATTTCAACGTCTCCGGATCATTCCCTTAGATTTCCAACTAGAAGTACGATAAGGAACGCGTACAGTCGAGGAAACTAAACAAACTGGTATGACTGGTTTGACAGCCACAAACTATAAACTTGTTCCCTCATGAGCTCAAGGTTCACACTAAACTGACAAACTGAGTTACGCAATACTTCACATTCAACTTTGGCTGTTGGGTCCATGCCAAGCCGTTTGTTTGGCGACAAACGCTAAGGTCACAACGAATACGCTCGTGTAATTGGAACTACGCTTATTAACGTGTCGTCTAATGCCCCCCATGCGGTCATCCCATTGCCAGCAAAACGGTTGACAGGGGACATGAAAATAACCCCTTTAGGAATGCTTCCGAGTTGCTCCTGGAATAAAACACCTAGATGTTTGTTTTCATCGCTGTCTTTGGATAACCTGGTCTTCTTTGTCTTTTACTTGATAAACGGCAGATTTCACGTGCCTTTTGTGAAGTGGAAGACATTAACTTCGAGGTGTGTATTTGACGTGAGACATCTTTGATAATCGCAACTATCGTCAAATAGAAGGCACACAAATGAGATGGAGTTTCCAGCTAAGATAAATCAACAGTTTTCGGCTGCTTTCCCTTCTATTTCCAGTTACTTCCGTCACCCAGATAATTTACAGCACTCATATGCGCCAGATATCTGTTGGCTTGCTTCCAATCTAGCTTTGTAGCACAGAAAGCATATCACCAATGGTCAATTGAAAGAATTTGGAGACAGATACGTTCTCGCTGCACTAAGGTAATAATGCGCAAGTCAAATCCAGATATCCTGGATTTTTGAACATCTAGAATGGTCGTTCCGGTTTTGGCAGAGCATTTTGATGAAATCTATCGAAAACTGCTGAACTATCATTTGCTTAGTCCAGTAGGTGGGTAGAGCTGGTTCCGATTTGTTGTTTCCCTGTCATAAGAAACACCAACGTCGGCGCCAAATTGTGCCATCTTCGAGGATAGTCCCACATCAAGTGAAGCGCTCCGTTGTACTTTTGGTTTTTATAATGTAAGAGCTTGAAAATCAGTTCTTACTTCTGCAAGTTATTCGTGTTACTCACCTCTAATCTAAACCAGCGTTTTTTTCGAGAGAATTAGCATACAGTTCAGCAGTCATTTTTGACATTCGGGAACTGCTACGTAACGAATTGATGCTAAAATATTGACATATTGAATCTGGCAGCTTAATTACTACATAAACCTCACCTACTGCTTACCATGTTGTATGCAGAGTTTGATTGTGTCTATGTGGACACCAGCTAGCCAACTGTAGAATAAGCAAAGGACGGTGAAAATACATCATCGATATTAAATGTGGCTAGTGCTAATATTCTGGGACATTTAGATAGACCTTTCTGTATGCGTCCGTAATGGCAGCAGAGTTGGGGTTTTCAATGGAGAGTTCGTGTGGTAGACGAGGCCGTTTCACCCTGATTAGCAATCACCTTCAGGCCGCGTCTCACATAACCCCATGGAATTTCGAACCCATGACCTTCCGGCTAATAGTTTGGACGATAAGATTGTGACTATATGACTATGCCACTTATACGACTGAAACTCTCTCCTTGGGTCCCGCAGTAGAGCGCCATTCAGAAATCTCAATTGAAGTTGTGTCTCGGACACTCACCGTTCGCGGCACAGACGGTAGTTTCAATGATGGTGCAGGTTTACGAGACTTCCAGCATGAGTTGACTTCAGCTCGCAAACAACCAGATTTCAACACGGGTTTTTTTTAATACTAACGATGGTATTTATTACCGAATAACCTGGTTAACATCAGGTGTTGAAGATGGGTGAGACCGCTAGCATTATCAAGTCTAATTTAGTCACTACATAGATTAATGTTCGGTGGCTACAGAGATGAGCGTCCAGCAGCACGTATGACTCCAAATCAAGCGGCGATGGAGTTGATGCAGACCCTCGACAGTAGAAGAGTAGTTGATAGATTCCAGGCATATGGGAAACGGCGTTGACCTCTCTGTCAAATGACTAAACACATTTAAAGTGAACGTTCGATTGCTTAAACCCGTCAAATTTGTAACGGCTTGAACAGTTTCAGTTCAGAACAGTTTCAGATCAATGCTCTGCAACCCGCCGGGAAATACTGAATCGTTTAGTGGAACAGAAAAACTGGGACGATTTTGGATTCTTTTGGCCACAGCATACGTATCGAACTGAAGTGTGGTATTTTCAACTGCGTGCATGGGATTTATCAGAAAGTGTCACTTCGTAAAGTCTGTGAAGGAGTAAGAGATAGGTGAAACCCAACTTTCAATGAAAAAAGCTTTTTATTGCCTATTAACCGTTGAAGCATTCTGGTCGTAATCTGGGGAACGCGACCTCCAACTGCTATCAGAGATGGGGTAACCTATGGCTGACAAGACCAATTAACAGCGTTTACAGTAGTAGAAGGACGGAATGCACAGATCTTGTCCGATATTAAAACAGTCGTGGACAATCTATCCTCGAAACAAAGCTTACAAGTTCTCGGCAAGAGAGATTAATCTATTCAGAGAATGTCATTTGCGGTTGCACGAATAACAAAAATCTCGTCTGATTTGCGATTTGTGGATTCAACAACACTTTTCTACTTTATTCTTAAAACTAGTTGGTTAATGCATTTGTTGAAAAATTGGTACACTTCAAAATGTTGAGTAGCCTCCAGAGAGACATCAAGAGACAGGATGTCAAAAATGAATTCCTTTTCAAGACTTCTTCAGCTAGCTAAAAATAGCTCTAATGGATTGAACGAAGTAGCAAATGAATTGTTTGTCAGCGACCTTGGTTTACCATAGAGAGCCCCACGTGGGACATGTGCTTTTGATGTGCTCCAACAAACCAACATACAGTCTGATTCCTACAGCACGCTGTTGGACTATTTTGCCCAACTAATCAGAGAGGTTTTTCGAAGACAAATTCGTTTTCTATCTGGTCTTTTTTATTATCAGAACATTGCCTTTACAACATTTGCTCCAATGTTGCAAGCGAAAGTAATTCACAATCAACTTCCGCTTCTGAAAAAGCGTAGAATGTTATTTTTGATTAAAAACCTCTTTGATCATGAATTAATGAAGGGTCTGTTGGTTCACCTGTAGGCGATACTAACTAGGTGGTCTGTTCGTGCAGTGCTTTGTCTACACATGCATTCTTGCGAATGAGTCATTTCTGAATCGTTCTTAAATTTGTTCATTAATGAAGGGTCTGTTGGTTCACCTGTAGGCGATACTAACTAGGTGGTCTGTTCGTGCAGTGCTTTGTCTACACATGCATTCTTGCGAATGAGTCATTTCTGAATCGTTCTTAAATTTGTTCCATATCAAACTGCGTCATTAAAAAGACACTTTCTTTCAAATGAACTATCAACATACTAGGGCGATGTCGTTCGAAAGGAACAGTCATTTGACAAAATCAGCGACACTGTTTCAAGACGATGTTTCACTTTTTGGAACATCTTCATATTCGATAAACCGCGAAAATCAACCAGTCCACCTATTTACGGGACCTTGAATTTAGTACAACTGTACGTTTGTTGTCAGTCAGTAGACGAGAGTGCGTGCGAGGCACACTTTCTTAGTTTTGTAGGTAGTCGGTGGTAATAGGTAGACCTATACTTTAGAAAAAAAATTTGCCTAAAATTCGATCATAACGTGGGTTCTAAAATGATTAACTTACTTTTATCGTGTTCAGCGTGGTCAGTTGTTGAATTTTGGAAGTCAGAATATTTTTGGTCTCATCCAGTGTGGCCTCTTCTCTCGCCTGCGTAAACACAAAAATATTAGCCGGTGTAGAATGAAGAAATGAAACAAAAGACATGATTTCCGAATCTCTCTGTGGCATATATAGCACCGCTTTGTTAGGTTCTTAGTTGATATTCACTATCCGAAATTGGTTCTATATGACAGGGTATCTCTTATTTTCTTTAGTTCGTTCAGGACAAAGATTTTCAACCAGACACAATCTTCTGTCTTTCAGTGATCAGATGACCGGCATACGACTGTCAGCAGATAACATGCATTGGTTGCCTCCACGTATTTTGACACCGGCTCTGTAGTCATCGTCACCATGTCCTAAAAACCTCACTAGAGTTAGAGTAGACTCTGTGATTTTACCCTATGAGTTTACTCGTCAGGTTGCCACTTTAGTAACAAAAGCATAGTGAAGAGGGGCGCAACTAATTCTAGCGTGCATATAAAATACACCATTTGGCTAGTTACTGAATCTGTTGTGGTTGGTTTGGTTGACTGGCAAAGCAGAAAAATCTGGGACTGAACACACTTGAAAGGCTAGATATTTTTTTGGGGATTTGGCCTTTAAAGCCTTTCGTTCATTACATGGTGGGAAGAGCACATTTACAGTTGCAAGAGCGAACATCTTTGAGAAGGGAAAAAACCGCCAACAAGTTAACGGATCTTTCAAATTTCAGCTTAGATTTATTTTTTCCAAGAAAGTCCATCTGCGTTTTGGCTCCTGCCTACCAGTATTCAAACGTTAATAGTGCCGAAAGTCAAATCCGAATTGGACACTGGTGTGAACTCCTTGAGAACATGTACTAGTTTAAGGGAAGTGTCCGGATTCGGCTGACGAACTGATTGAAATGAAACGGATGGAAAACAAGTGCGTGGGAACCAACGAGCGTACCAGTCTGAATGAGCCGCACCATTTCGTGGCGAAATTCGTCGGCGTAGAGTTTAAGCAGGCCTTTTGTTCAGGCTCCTGCCGCCATTGGGACTCTAAACAGACAGCCACTATATGAGGTAGCAATCACTTTCACAGCGTCATCGAAATCTAATTAACGATTATCCCCTCGCTCTGTGTGAAAACAAAACTGTTACTAAATATTCCTAGTAGACGAACCTTGCCTCATGGTTCAGTAGCTTTAGAGAGTCTGCTGCTAACAAGCTGTTCTTGTAAAGAACTGCCTTAAGTCTTCAGAGGTTCACTGATTTTTTCTCCTAAGGGATATTAAGATTTGGTCAGCGGGACGCTAGAACCTCTCCCGTCGGTGATCGCTCTTTGGATCTATACACACTGGGGAAAACAATATTGTACCCTGCAGTTCGCCTCCAAAAACTGCACTCTTTTGTTTACAGAACTGAGAAGCGTTTGTGCGTAAACTGCTCACTTCGAATCAGTTTCCGCTAGAGAAAACTACTCACAAGGTTGCTGGAAACTTTTCAACAACCCACGACCGGTTTCGCCTTTCTTGTGGCTCATTAGGTAGGCACAGTCCCCGAGTTTCCGTCAACCTTATGTTCTACTTGAACCCAAATTGGACTGTTCTCGAGAAATATACTCATTTGCAAATCAATTTGGTTTTCACGAGAGACAGCTGAATTCCTCGTTTTTGCTATTCTACACCTGAATGTGCTACACACAGACCGCCTCATGTTTCATTTGGCACGATATTCGAGATATCGCAGTATATTTTCATAAATGAATCTACTTTTAAAATGACTCAAATATGTTTCAGTTGAACCGTAATGGTGAATACGGAATTTTACTGGATACGAAGATCAGGTTGTATTGTTGAAGCACTCTCATGTTTTTTCACTGAGAATTCATTGATATCAAACAAATCAGACTGACATCAGTGAATTCGAATGCGCGGTATTATGAGACATTTATGTTGCACAAAATGAAAAAAATTAATGATTAGTTCAAACTGTAGTAGAAAACGAAGAGTTATGTACAGAAAGTTGAAAAAAAACAAGCGATGATTGTCGCAAACAAACTATCTGAAACACTCACTTTTAGGTCAGGTCCCTCAGATAACTTCCGGGACATACTGTGATTAATTTTAGAGTTGAATTCCCGTGTCAGGATCTCCGTGGCAGATTCTGTCATTCTTTGACAACTGGCTCCAACGATTGGTTGGCTTTCAAAAACCAATGCCTTTGACTGCACTCGTATTGGTAAAACAATTGCACAAGGTGGGTCATCTTCCTTATGGCTGAACTTATGTTTTGCTGCAGGCGTTTGTGGAGCGCTGGAAAAGGATGGTTTTCCAGCCACATTCCTGCAACCGTTGCACTTTTGATCAAAGAATTCCTGACGCACTATTCTTTCGGTTTCTCGCAGACGCTTATATCCGTCTGTGATCTCCACCGCATTACTCGACTTGTTGTTTACAGGCTTGTTTGGTACCTTCTTGGATTGTGATGATTGCCGGTGAACCAACTTGCAGAATGCCGTGTTCTGGGAAATTTTATTGGTAACGCATGGTGATGGAGTGCGAACAGATTTGGTGCCAAGAGGTCTACTTCCCGACTGCCCCAGTCTAAAGCTTGCGCTGCGCAGTCTGTCACATTGCACTGGAAGATGGCTGGAATCAGATTTTGCCTTTTTTGTTGACGATAGAGGTGTGTTACTAGTTCCATCGACCACATTTAACCCTTGTTTAGTCTTGACTAATTGCGGACCAACTAATTCCTGTTCACTGAAAGCTAAGGGTGGATCTTTTGAACAGTTCCATCTGCAGTTATCTGTGTTGTGAACAAACAAAGGCTTTGATCTAGGAATAGAAAAGGAGGCAGAACACGTCATTTCTGATGGGACTGCCAAGCCTAACTGCATTATTGGAGAAGTTGAACTATGTTGTAGTTCACTGGAAGAATTCGCGTTGTAGGTTGTCCACGGCAGTGCATTGGATAGGGAAGCACTTCCACTGACGACATCAGACGATGGAGAATCTGACTGTTCTCGTGTTCCAGTCTCATTGAACCCTTTGACGGATGAGTTGCTATCTGAGCGGAAGACATTTGTAAACGGCTTTAGGAAACTGGTTCGGTTGATGGCCGTCTCCACTGCTACATTTGTAGAACTGGAAGAATGTTTGTCCGACAGCGAATTCGAATGTTTTGACTCGATCTTATTCTCACTCGTGCCAATCGCAGTCGCAATAGACTCAGATCGTTTCAAGAGACTGCCTGAAGTGAGCGGTTCATAGTGCGATTTGGTGTATGAATAAAAGTTGGGATAGAAGCGCTCCATGATTCAGCCGGTCAGACACATGATCAGTTCGGTTTTAATTCCAACAAAACACAGCGAGAGGAATGGTCTGCATGTGGCCTGTCCAGGGATATAATCTATCTTACTTGTTGGTAGCCAGCTGCCATTTAGCTAACTTGATTGGTCGGCCTTACCTGTTCATTCGAACGACACACCGGTAGACTGAACCGGTAGAAGGGAGTCAGTACTGTAATCAGTTTCACATGAAACGGTGTGCATCCAAACGATTGTCCACATCAAGCCTATTCCTTGACACAGTTGGACATTGTGTTCAACGAACCAGCAGATGAATTTGAATCAAATCCGTTCCGCACTCAGTCGCTCCTCATACGTGTTGACAAACAACTAAATCCATCGTGCATAGACGTTTGTGATTTCTGTGGGGGACCTGATTATTACTTGGATCACGATGAAGAGGATGCAACAAGCTAGCGTTCTCCGTGCTTCTAAGCGATCCCAACGACACTCGATATTTCAGTCTAGAAGGGCATCTCGTATATAAGCAGGTGGTGAATTCGATTATCATGCGCCGCAAAATACACGATGGGCAGATATCAAGTAGATTTAACAGTCAGATAATGGCGACTTTATATCCCTTCACTCGTACAAGAAATCACTTCCACCATATCGGATTAAGCGGCTTTCTTTACGATGATGAGTTAACTTTGAAAATACTATGGTAGAAGCACGAATTATTCGGTCTGTTCAAAACGCACGGGGACCTTGCCGATTGGAAAAGCGGTGCTTCAACTGACGGACAACCTACAGAGGTTTTATGGGTACTCACTGCCTAGATTTTCTCCACGTACTGCCCTGCTGCGCTTTACTGTCGCCTTACAAATTAAATTCTGTTGAAAGGAAAAAATTCCTTTTATTCAACCAGTGGACACCGATGTACTTTGAGTACCCGGATTATATGTGCTATTGTGGAAGTTGCATATGAGCTTGGTCAATGGTATCGATGAACACAGAATGTCCATCTGTTTTGCAGACCCGTTGTGTCAGAAGTGCAGTCCCCGTGCGTAAATATGACCAAAATTAACCTTTCTGGCAGCACAGTTAGTAGAGCGTGTCCAGTTACCCAACTCACGTTATTGATACTAGCTTTGAATTTCAGGGATCCCTAATTCCGCGCCAAGATTCCGCCCAATATTTTTTCACTGGAGATAAACTTGAATGTATTGGTGATTGCTTGCAGCAAGCATCAGTTCTTCACGAGTGGTCGTTACATACTTGTGGAATGGTCGGTAACAGGTCAGATTCCAGATGATTAAATTGTTGGAAAACTCCATTCCGACACACCATCAGAAAGGTAGTGTTAGCCTAAAAAAACGCCAACCATACAAAGCGTTCCTATTGGTATAAGTTACGGGCAGCACGATTCATATGACTGCAGGTCTGGATTCGTTCCTGTAACTCATTAGTCAGACGGTTAATCATCTAAGCTCGACTTGCAACCAGCTGAATGAAGGCCTTAAACGCTGGTCAAAGACTCAGCGATGGCGGTACACGCCTTAGACACGGGACATTGAATATATCTAGAGAATGTGGAAGTTTTAAGACGGGGACTGCGATTCACACCACAGCGGCTGATAGCCGAGGCGGTGGAAATTACTAAGTATCACAGCGTGAATAGAACCGAGGATGGTGAGCTAGCGAGCGTACGGAAAGCGGTCTTAGGTAAGCCGAGTTGACGCGTGGTGTGGTTGTCAATCTATTTAGGATTATTAGAGAAAACCGGGGGGTGGGGGTGGAAACCCCAACCGAACAAAGGTCACAGCATCCCTCTTACACAACTTTCTTAGTACTAGTTCACCCACACAGACTGACAGAAGGTTCAAACGAAGGTCAAGAGGAACCATCAGATGAACGGAACCAGAAGAACTAGACCCTAGGCTGGACCCAAACACATGTATGTTTCCCCACCGACCCAACACTTGTTCAACCACTCTAACACACTAAAATCCCTCGGCCGACACCCAACAGAGATTTAGCTTGACTTAGCTGATTGGTCTTTCTTCCGCCTTAAATCTCGACCAACCTCGGAACCTAGCCATTTGGCCTGACGAAGCTTTTGTGTCAAAAGCGAAACGTTGCCCAGCAATAAATTACCGACTGTCACCAAACTTTTTCGAAAACAAAGAGTCAGGTGTGGTTTATTGGCGCTTTTTAGCACATTGGGGGGCAGTAGGTCAAGTGGTAATGGAGGTTGTATCCCAGAACAATGCAATGGGCTAGGTTTCCACCCATTCTGTCAAAAAGGCATTGTTAATTTTATCGATTGGACAGTTCTGATCAATGGACGACAAGTTTCATTCAACTGGAAATGAGATTTCGTCCTGTAACTGAAGCCAATCTGTGCTGAAGACCCGAGAGGCAGTGTGCAGCTGATTCAACACCAGCCGTATTCATCTGAAAAAAATTCCAGGCAGTTTCGAATCTGCGATATATAGGCTAGAAGTTGGAATACAGCCGTTCGGCTAGGACGGCTTATCAGCATTGTGACTGACTTGTAGTCATTTTTTCCACCAGGACGGGAAGAATAATTTCAGAATGGGTGAAGACTTCCGTTTGATGAGTCGTTACTTAAGCAGCCAGTCAACACGTGACCACGTGATATGGATGCCGTGATTGAAGGATGAGAGACAGCACGGGCGAATAACGACGCTGATCAGCCGCACGTTGCCGAACGATGAATTGTTCAAACAAATAACCGAGAGGCCACGGGTTCGAAGCTACCATTAGTCTGGAGGGGTACGCAATACTGATGGTCTTCAGTAAGGATGGAACGACTCTACAGTCCTTCTCTGCTTTTCAGTTACATTGCCTTCACTTACAGGATGGGAATTTCCCCATATTTCCAACAATGTCTTGTTAACTGGACTTAATAAAAAGTAAATTTATTTTGTCCTGCTTGATTGACAAAACTCAAGGCAGTCAAAAATTAACCCCAAAGCTAAGTACGCTTGCAGTAATTTTCATGCTTACCCCCAAAAGACCCATAAGTGGTGTTTTCCTTCATAAAATTGCAACTACAACGATCTCTGTCGATTTTCGTTTGACTCGAAACTCCGCGAAATTTTACGCTGCACGGAAAACGTATATCTCTATGGTCCTTTCCGGTGGTGACTCACTATCTCACCAAATTAACGGGCATTTCTCGATTGGATTTGTCCCTGCCCGGACTGCAATTGTGGTCCGAAGGTGCACACAGCACAGTTGGATGGAAGTCAATCATTTTGGAGGACGGAACAATTCGGCGCTCTATAAATCAATACTCATCGAGTTGCTAAAATCCCTAGTGTTTTCGGGATACTCGTGAATACCGAGTTGCGGTCGTCATCTGGCGAAAGTAATCCCTTATAATAAACTAGAACACCGTTCTAGAGGTTAGCCACATTGCGCTAGTGAATCAATCATGGTTTTGCAACTTGTTTTCGCAAACAAGTAGAACAATGGATCCGGACATACACTTCCAAAGCAGGTTCAAACACTGAGACTTCATCACGAAAGTGCCTTTATTACCCCCAGGAGGAAACACTACCAAGAAGGTGGCACTTCGNTTAGTCACATCGCGCTACTGAATCAATCATGGTTTTGCGACTTGTTTTCGCAAACAAGTGGAACAATGGATCCGGACATACACTCCCAAAGCAGGTTCAAACACTGGGACTTCATCACGAAAGTGCCTTTATTAGCCCCAGGAGGAAACACTACCAAGAAGGTGGCACTTCGGGTGGATTGTGCTTCACTTTGTCAAAAATAATATCGATACCCAGACACATAACATGGTGTTGCTTATTCTACACTATTCAGAACATCCACCTTCGGTTTAACTGTCGGTCATCTTTATTATTTTCTCATCAAACAGTTCTGAGTAACTTTCATATCGTCAGCACGTAAGAATTCTGTCGCCCAGTCAAACTAGGATACTGGAGCACTATGTACAGTTCAATTTCCGCTCACAAAAATGAACACCAATTCATTATTCAGCATGTCATTGGGTTCATCCCACTCTGATCAACAGCTCTTTCCACCATTATATCCAACAACCTTGGACAAGAAATTCTGATTGGTTGACGACTACGTCTTAAATATTATGCCACTGCACCTTAGGTAAGCCACGTGATGTCAGTGGACACACAATGAACCGGTAATTTGTCACTTGTTCTCTTTTAGAAATGAAGGTTCGCCAAGCCAGCATTTTCCAATTTCGCTGGCTTTTAGTGTCAACGGCAGATCGTATTTTGGACGTCGCTTGCGCGACAGTTTTTGTGTGTTAACTCATATTCAACAATTTTTGGCATGAACCCAAACCAGCACTAAGTGATTCTGAACAACCACGTGAGATCCACGTAATCATTCCGCAGGTGCGTTCTTTTCAAGGGTATCTTCCCCCAAAAACAGAGTTCCTGTCTGACTGACATTCACAAGGTTTCCGTAGTAAATCTACTGGGAGGTTGGTTGAGGTTATGTCTAAGGCTCTCTGTGACACCGTGACATCCCAATGAGATGATCCTCCGTCTGAAACGTTAGAACAATCTTCCGAAGAAGTTTTAGACATCTGCTTGCCGGAGAGAATTTCAGCTGATAGTTAGACAAATCACGTACGACAGAAAGGATACGTTGTAATTTGCATAAAATAGGTCCCAATCCAACATGATTCAGTGCGTGTCATTGTAGCAAGAACAGATGTTAGGTTGTAAGTAGCTATGAGTAGTTGCTAAAGTAGCCGTAAATAATCTCTTTACTAACGACGGTGGCAATAAGGACAATGGCGATGTTGTTGACTAGACTGCTATTGTTGATGCTGATATCAGAGACAATGATTTTTCACTGAACATCAAACTCATTACTTACTTTACAGGATAATTGAAACGTTAGGGCTGTGATTTGGTCGTTCGATTTTTTCAGTTCCTGGCGAAGGCGCTCCACCTGTAAACAAAATGGGCAGCACAGAACTAGATCAGCAAAGCATAACTGTATTTTTTTTAAAATTGGATATGTCAACCACGTGAGATCCACGTAATCATTCCGCAGGTGCGTTCTTTTCAAGGGTATCTTCCCCCAAAAACAGAGTTCCTGTCTGACTGACATTCACAAGGTTTCCGTAGTAAATCTACTGGGAGGTTGGTTGAGGTTATGTCTAAGGCTCTCTGTGACACCGTGACATCCCAATGAGATGATCCTCCGTCTGAAACGTTAGAACAATCTTCCGAAGAAGTTTTAGACATCTGCTTGCCGGAGAGAATTTCAGCTGATAGTTAGACAAATCACGTACGACAGAAAGGATACGTTGTAATTTGCATAAAATAGGTCCCAATCCAACATGATTCAGTGCGTGTCATTGTAGCAAGAACAGATGTTAGGTTGTAAGTAGCTATGAGTAGTTGCTAAAGTAGCCGTAAATAATCTCTTTACTAACGACGATGGCAATAAGGACAATGGCGATGTTGTTGACTAGACTGCTATTGTTGATGCTGATATCAGAGACAATGATTTTTCACTGAACATCAAACTCATTACTTACTTTACAGGATAATTGAAACGTTAGGGCTGTGATTTGGTCGTTCGATTTTTTCAGTTCCTGGCGAAGGCGCTCCACCTGTAAACAAAATGGGCAGCACAGAACTAGATCAGCAAAGCATAACTGTATTTTTTTTAAAATCTGGATATGTCCTACACAGCTCGAGGTAGATTAACTTTAGTAGATGTCGACTGCAAGGGGGTGGCTTGGAATCGCGCGGGTACTTACTATATTGACTAAGTACCATGCATATGAGTCAAACTCGTGTAAAAACGGTTCCCAAGGTTTGATGTTAATTATTGACTTATGGCACCACCGCAAAAACTAACCTGGTCCATAACTGAAATTCTTACGATATATGTCGAGCAAAACTGCTTGGATTTCATCAAAACGGTTCCCAAGGTTTGATGTTAATTACTGACTTATGGCACCACCACAAAAACTAACCCGGTCCATAATTGAAATTCTTACGATATTTGTCGAGGAAAACTGTTTGGATTTCATCTAGAAACACATTTAGCAGTAAACGTAGGAAAGCTTTCCGAATACACTTATGGGCATTCCGGTAACAAATGTCTACTTGAACGGTTTATGGTACAATTCTGCAGGTGAGCTGATAGCAAGAAAGCCGGCCTGGATAAACAATGGTCAGACCTGTCAGGTGTCTGTTTCCATAGTGTAACCTACAACACGGAATTCCGGACACCTTAAGCACAGTTTGCAAGTATCTGTCGCTAGGTTTCCTTCTAATCAGATGACTGATGCGCATCTTCGTTTTCACGAAATGAGATTGTGTCGCTCAGGCCTAAAATATATGTTTTTCAGAGACAGAGGGCAGAAGGCGTATTCTTGTATACTTGACTACCACATTGGAGATTTAGTTGACCGAGGCAGAAGTCATGATTATTTACGTCACGGCCAGACTATGTCATGGAATACGAATTCCTTTTCATTAAACACAATTCGGAGCTGAAGAGGTCGCACCTGATTGCCTAGAACGAAAGGGATGCTTCCGTACTGTGTGTGACCATCACATTTCATGGACGCCCAGAACAACAGAGATGTTCAAAGTACGATTACTAGTTTGCTTCTGGCATGATAGGGCCCGAAAAGGCCGTTGAAGACAGGAGATGAATGCTGCTCAAAAGAAACTTCAAGCATTTGAAACTCCGCAAAGTGGACCACTTGTGTAATTCAAGGAGCTCTACCGTATCCACACTGACCCAGAAACACATTACTCCATCGGACGCAGAATAGATACGATGAAATCTCCATGGAAAAGATACTCTCACAGGATAACAGACGAATTCTATTTGGTATGGGAAAAGTTCGTTTGGTTCAACTAAAAAGCAGATAGCTCTCAATAAGTCATGGATGGAATCGCGCAATGTACGTGTACAAAACCGCTGGTGGAATAAAAAAAACTGGGGCATCAGAAACCATGTGAACCTCCACTTACCTCTTGTTGTTGGAAGAATGAATCAACCTACGACAGTGGAAGAAAGTTGTATGACAGTTAGGCAACGATTACAGGACAAAATCCGATGGCAATGCCTTTGCGAAACTTCCCCACGTTACCATGGGTCTACAAGTTCACTTATCCAACGTCACTTTTTGAAAAGGGCCTGTACAAATCTCCCGTGTGTCTTTAGTTGAGTAACCCTGTCTGGTTTTCAGGCTTACACTGTCTAAAGTTTGACACACAAAGTGTTAATCGACTTTACCACAGCAAAAAAATCCCACTTAATTGAAGCTTCGATATTGAACTTCGAAATTATATACTACTGTGAAAACATAAGTAGTGAAAAACGAAGGCAAAAGTTTCTCATCGTGAGTTTTACTGCCGACATTTTAAAATTGGGCAAACGGAAGCTAGCGTCAAACCGTAAGTGTAATATGCGGGAGTGATTGCGGGGGTAAAAACAAGAGTACGGAAAAACCAAAGGCAAATTTTGCTTGTTGCATTATCTTCATCCTTGCTTTCTAGGGGAACATCTTGTAATTCTTTAAGGAATATCCTCTTAGATAACTATGAAGTGGGCTTCAATATAACTTCCTAGAACTTATGCACTGGATGTACTAGAGTTTGAGTTGTTGGAGCGATGAAATATGTTGAGTTCTGAACTGATGAGCTTGTCTTACTACAAAACAGAAGCATTTTCATATAGTGATTAAACTAAAAGATTTGATTTCACATCGTTTCTCACAACAAGGGCTGACGAAGGCACGCGTTGAAACGAAACAATGCGTACTGAGAAACAGGCTTCAGAAACTCGTATTTTAGTCCCTGTTTTGGAAGATCCGTGCCTGGGGCGGAGCTTTTCCCATTCCTACTGTTAATTTTAGCCAGCTATACACTTTTTTAAACAAGGGGAAAACTTGAAAAAAGCTGCCAAAGAAATGTCTTTCTGGTACGCTTTTACTGGGTGTCAGCTTAAGAATTTTAAGAACAGCCTTCTCAGTTACTAATTCGTTAATTTACTTGCTTGGTCCCGTGTTCTTCCGTCACTTCTACAACCAGGACTACCTCTTATGTTTGAAAGCTGAAGGTGAGGGCCAGAAAGCAAATGTTCACAGGTGAATCAGTCAAACCACACTGATTTACTTTGTCCGTTACAGTAACTACTACATTCTGACGTAAATGCTTTGGAAATCGCACTAAGAAGCTTAATCCAGTGGGTGGAAGTCTTGCCAACTGTTCACTTAGAAGGCAACTCAATGTTTTAATGATGTAGGCAGTGGACTACGAATATGGTATTATGACCCGGGGTAAGCACGTCAAAAGTGAAACCTACCTGCCCTTGCTGCTGCACGAGGGAGCTTCCAGAGTTCACAGAATCCGCTGAAAAGTGGATTTAGATGATTTTTATTCCAAATTAACTTATGAATGATGATCAAAATTAATCATCTCAATCGGGTTACGAGAATTATCTGTTCGGGCTGTACTGTTGACCAGGTACAACACTGTGTCTGCATACGTGAATCAACTTCGCCTGATGTAGACACTAGTATAACATCAGATATGCGTTCGTGAGATGAAGATAGAATTCCAGCTAATTTTACGGCCACTCAAACGCAGCGTGTAGAATAAATAGAACTTATCATAGACTGATAGGATTAGGGGTCTATAGATGACCACTGTCCAAAAAATCAACCCATAGTTTTCATGGGGACATCGCATTGTACACACATTGAGCAGTATCCTTTGAAGTGCCTCTACGATCATGGTAGTGAGTGAACTTTCAACAAATGGCTTCAATTGGTATATAATGATACTTAATTTGAAAGTAATTTTGGGAAACATGGTAAAACAACTACTAATGAAGGAGCGGACAGGCTTCCGTCGAGCTTTGGTCGGACATAAGATGATCTTTAAGAAAAAATGCAGTATCTTGAATGTTGGCTATCGTGAACTTCGAGGTAACCTGTCGGTAACAGTCGGCTGAAAAGCCCTACAAAAGATATTTTCAGTCAAGTCTCACACCAAAGCCAGCTCATTCTGCAAATGATGGGGGTCGTAAATAGTATGGATCGTGTTCACCACATCAAGAGTGGCTTTAAACCAGAGATGCGCTAACTGGAACAATGATCCGCTACATTTGCTTCGTTTTCTTCCTCGTGAATTAGTTAGATTTACCCATTCCAGTTAAACGGGGATGAAAAAACCCGACTTCAAATATCGCCATAATCGATATACGTCGGTACGGAATTCCTCCATGTTTGTTCCCAAAGCATCGACAGTTGTTTTGTGCAAGTACCCGAATTTCGAACCCCAGCAATGGTGCGGTACCATGCCCACTAGGGCTAAACACGGTCTCAGTCTTTGTCACATGAAAAAGAATATAGCGATCGGGTCTAAAATGTACGATTGGAGTTTAGACCAATAATATATCAATTTCAACCAAATGATACTAAAACCCTTCCTTGGTTGCGACGCCGCCAAGACGAATCCTAGGCCCAGCTGTCTTACTCCGAATTACCATCCAGACATGGTTGCTGTGCTACATCATTGCCCCTGGAAGGCCTTTCCAGTCAAATAAGGAATTGTTGATCTGTGATCAAGAATTTTTTGCTTGGGGAGGGTCATTTAAATTCGGAAGGGGTGACCTGTCATTCCGTACCCCTGGTGCATGGCGTCATCCGGACAATAATGATAAGACCCCATCTGTGTATTGTCATCTAATGAGGATTTCTAAGTGCCATTGATTTATTTTACCCAAGGAGATGGGTTAAGAGCTTGCCAGAATAACTATTCTGATAGTTTGTAGGATAGAGCATCTGGTCAGACGTTGTGAGAACATCTTGAGTCGGTTCAATGTGGCCAGGTCGCGTGGGATAGCTCTTAAATACTCTGGACCCTCAAGATTACATGCATCGCTGGAGTGCGAAGAATAAAGACCTACTTCTGTGCGCTCAAATGGGGATAGGCATCCAGTTCTGGTCATTTTACAGCACACTTCAGAGTTTCAACCTCTAAACTTAGAGCAAAACACAGGTGACCGATAACTTTTTCATGAAAAAGGCAACTTTTCTAAACCTTGTAAAGAAATGGGGCCAGTGAGAGAGTGAGGATGATCAAGGCCATGAAAATTTCCCCCGTTTCAAATGGGATAAATTCAGTGAATCCTGCACGAAAAATATGGTACGAACAAGTGCCTCATTACCGATAGAAACTCACCATACTGGGTCGTTTCTCCAACCGTAGCTTCCCCCGCACATTGTTGAATTCCGTTGGTCATCATTCCGTGGTCGTTATGTTGCAGTGCATAATTC